GTGTGTGTGTGTGTGTGTGTGTGTGTGTGTGTGTGGTGGGGAGCCTCTGATTGTGAGGCCAAGATGGTGAAAGAAAAGATGGTGGAAAACCTGAAGGCCTGAGAAAGTGAGGCCAACTAAAGTGGGCACGTGGCATCTCATGGCTCATTAAGCCTGTGGCCATGTGTTGAGCCTCAGCTTTCCCATCTGAGGAACAGTGATTCCTAGAAGGTCATAGAGAGTGCAAAGGCCCAGCACAGCCAACAATGCGTCCTTTATAGTACAGATGTTAGTGCAGATGACATCAAGGTTTTGACTTCTTTAATAGCCTATAAAATGCTATGATCCATACACAGTTTGAAGGAGGGCTTAAGGTAGGTGTTAATAACCCTCAAAATGATACAGACAATGAGTTAGAAAAGGTCATAGGAGTGTACCGTGGAGCTAAACATAAAGAGTTTCACTGATTCTGGAATTGATGTTTTTGATCCTCTTATGAGCATCATCTTATGAAAGGGAAATGTTTTAGATTCCAGATATTTATCCTGGTACCATAGGCTACTCTGATATTAATACACACGCCTGTGTCATCAATAAACACATCATTCTAAGTAACATCCATGTAACTCTGTCACGGGAGAGGTATCTTCGATGGAATTTTAAAAATTCATGAATGTAGCTTCTTACATGAACCTCTTGAGATAGATTGTCTCCCAGTGTGGCAGGTAAAACCTTTATTGTTCGGGATTTGGTAACGTGGGTCTGCACACTGTGTGGTAGCCGCATCGTTTTGATGCTAGACGTGTTGGTGAGATTGATGATAACGTATGGAATCTAGACAGTATTTATCCAAAGGATTTAGAAGGCTATATTGCAAACTGGGACAATATTGTCTTTTCCACAGTCAAGTCTTATGCTAGGAATACCCCGAAAGCAGATTAGGACATACGCACTTGTGCTTCAGGTGAAAAACACCTTCCCAAACACAATACACCCAAAAGGTAGCAATGGACCAATATGACCAGAGATTAAGATCGTCTTGAAGGGGACTACTTTGGTACTCCCTTCTCTCTACTTGAATAGCTAGAGGAATAACTGTATCTCATTCAAGTGAGATTCAAATTTCTTAGGAATTATGTCACACAGCCATTTAAATATGAAGGAGATTTTAACCACCTAAAGTCTGTGGGAAACATAGCAGGGCTTCTCATTTGTGCCTACAGCAGGGTTTCAGGACACATCAAGAGGTTTATTCTGTCCTATAACACTGTTGGAACATAACATTCCCATCCTGTATTTTAAAGCACAGCAATTCAGTTTTACTTGTTGTAGAATTAAAAGTTTCTCATTATGAATTTTGTTCTCGTGGGACACCGTAGGCTGAGGAGCCGGTCAACCCATGCTCACAGGAAAGAACTCACAGGCAATTAGATTTGAGTTCCCTGCTTCCCCAGGGAGGCCTCGGAAGTGCCTGAAGAGAAAGTGGGAATTCTCACTACCTCAGATGGGCAGGACTAGGGACAGGTGCAATTAAGTTAGGGAGGAACTTCTTGATACCAGGGTAATTAGCAGCTGGTGGCGGAAATGGATTGGGACATGATATCCAGCCAGCATCCTATCTCCTTGCCATGAAATGTCACGGGGGAGGTATCACGCAGTTTGTTGCTTTTCTTGTTGGAAACTTTGAGATAATTGCAGATCCACGTGGAGCTGTAAGAACTAAAACAGAGAGATTCCTATGCACGCTTTACCCGTTTTCCCCCAATGGTAACAGAGCCTGTTGCTTCATACTTTGTGGGAATGTATACCCCTAGGAAACAGGACGAGGGTACTCTAGTGAAAACATTAAAGTACACGTAGAATGGAACCAAACTGCCAATTTCCTTTTTATTCCAAGGAGGGCTGCTTGGAAGAAAATGGTGAATTTATAAAGGAATGTCTCCAGCAGACGCTGTGAATTAACTTCCATGGAAAGCGGTGGGCCTGAAAGGGGCCAGGCTATGCACAGGTTGACCTGACGAGCCCCAAGAAGCGAGGGGGGAAACGAAGGCCAGACTTGTTCCCTGGTTCAGTGAGGTGACAGAAATGGAAAAAGAACCACCCAAAGGGGTCCGAAGATGTAGCAGAATCAGTTGATTTCATGGGAAGGGCTTCTGCTGTCAGGTATAGAAAAGAAAACAAGTTATAAAATAGATAACCAATAAGGACCTACTGTATAGCACAGGGAACTATACTCAGTATCTTGTAATGACCTATATTGAAAGAGAATGTAAAAAAAAGAATATATGTATATATTATATATATATATCTGAATCACTTTGCTGTACACCTGAAACTAACACACTGTAAATCAACTATATTTCAATAAAAATTAAAAAAAAAGAAACCCAGTAAAAAGCAACCTGCTATGAAACTGCAAGTAAGTCGATGAGTCACCCCAGTGCCCTCCCCAGAGGCTCCTAGCACCAGGGACTGGTGTGGCTGTTGAAGATATAGATCAGCAGAATGGCAAGCACAGTAGCAATGGGAAAGTGGCATTGGTACAGGATTAGCAGAAGGCAGTGACAGCAGTGGTGCTTGACGCAGGTATGTGGAAAGCCACCAGATACCACCCAGGTGTCTGGAGGCCAGGGCTGCGTGGGATGTAGAGAACACCCACGATGTGGGAGGTACTTCAGGTATTACCCCTCCCCCTTCACTAGGAGGTGAGGGACTTAGATGAGGCTAGAGTTCCAGCAACTGAGCTAGTAGGGCTGAGCTGCAGAGTAAGACATTTATCATTGTTTGGGACCCTGTTCCTCTAAGTTGTTGTGAAAACGGGAAATGCCTTTGAAATTTTCTCTTCTGATGGAAGATACTGCTAACCTGCTAACACGTAAAAAGTATTTCTACTTTAATAGGGATAGAAAAATGGAGGAAATCTGTCAATCCAAGTTGGAAGGCCATGAGGCTAATAGTGGGAGAGGCAACATAGGAATTCATGCGCATGGGCAGTAGAGAGCTTGGCTAAAGGCTAACTGGGATTCTCGCTTAGTTGCCCATTCACATGTACAGAAATGTCTCTTTTGCTTTCAACATGGAGAGAGTCAGTGAGAGAAATAAAGCTTGCGTGTAAATCCAGTGAACTGAAAACAACCAAATAGCATTTGGTAAGATATATAAAACGTTCGAAGGAAATATAGTACCACTGGGTATCCACTTACACAAAGGTTATCAAATTATATACACAAGCTCCAGAAGGAACACTAGCCCCCCTGTACAAGTACTACCAGGGTAACAAACCTCCAGGTTGCTAAACCCCTGGTGTTTTTAGCTTGTCGGGAGGACTCAGTTTCTGACAAACCTGACTCCAATATGTTCATTTAGCTGCTTTCAATGAACTTTACTGTCATTTAGTCACACTTGGAGGTTGTTTTTAAAAGAAAAGTTATCTTTCTCAGAAAAGTCCACAGGGCCTGACATACAGCAGGAGCTCAATAAATCCTTTTTGAATGAAAGAGTGAATGAATGAATGAATGTTCTCAGTAATATGGTTTTGGAACTTCTCCTGTGAACTGTGGCCCTTGATTTCTACATGTAAGATAAAAACTAAACATTATGAAGATGGCTTTACTTGTTCCGAATTTTCCAAGCAGAAAGATGAGCAAAAACAAATTATTTATTACATACGGTTTCTTTCGGCAGTTTCCTTTCATCTACCTTTTGTCCTGCATTGAGTTTACACATTTGTCTCTCTGAGCTATTCTATGTAGAAACCAGATGGAGACTCTGGGCCTGAGTTATTTAGTGGTAGGATCTGCAGGACATTTCCCATATTGCTCACAAGGCTGGACGTTTCCCTGTCTTGATACCTGCGGGAGAATGCTACCCTCCAACCCATGAAGCAGGTAAATGCCAATGCCAAGGGGGTGGGTGGAAAGGTGACAGAAGAGAGGAGCACCAGCTCAGTGATGTTTGTCATTTTTATTTGCAATACTTTAGGTCCAAGTTTCAAACTGCAATATTTTTACACTCAAGACACAGTCATGCACAATCCATATTTCAATTTTCTATTGCTTCAACCACAATTTAAAATAACAATATTGGAAACAAAAGTCCTTAAAAAGATCGGATGCTGAGGTCAGAAGGATGGAACCGTACCATCAGCAGGTTTACAAAAGAAATAACTTACTTAAAAATCAAACAAACAGAAAGACCATAAATACTTTTAATCCAAAGTTACATAAGAAGTTCACTACACATGGGTTTACAGATAACACATTTTAACAAAAGCACAGCCAAATGAGAAACAATTCTGATAAACAATGAAAATGCAGATCCTCCTTAACTTGTTTTGTCTGGATATTACGAGTATAATCCCAGTAGCCATCACTACCCTGTGATCTGTCTCTTCCTTGCTGATGTACTGAGATTTAAAACTCAACCCACTAATGGTTACAGAATTCTGTGAAAGGTCTTATCATCACTAATGAATATAGTATATGCGGGTCCATAAAACACACCACACACAAGCACACACACCGAACTTGAATTTCACACTCAGGGCTGGTTGGCACTGCTGTGGTCAGGGCATTGGGACTGTCCACTACCAGTTTATCCTCTTTCCAGTAGCATACTCATTCAACTGGCCAATCCCTGTGGGAGTTGTCACCAGAAATGCTATCTTTGGTTCCCAACAAGTGGATTGGCCAACACTCCTTAATGCTAATAGCATGTAATCACTTTTGCCTTTTTCTCTCTGCAACCTGCAAATGCTTAGGCCCACTCAGTAGTCCCAGCCATTAAAATGCATGGGTTCTGACATCTTGTGCCATTTATAAAGTAAACTCTATAAAGCCCAACACCACTTCGTAGGAAGGAAGAGGCCCAAGTACAGTTCTATTCTAGCAAGTGTGACAGTGTATTTCTGTTCTAGTAGCAAATACTGGCCACAGCTTAATGAAAACCAAACTTTACATACAGAGTGTATGGAAGATGAAAACTGGGAATATGCAACAGAAAAGGAACATTAGAACAAAAACAAAACAACTGTGAAGGAATTGGAAGGCTGCCACAAGTTTTATCAACATTCCCTAGTATTATTCGCTTCATTTGTTCGAGGGTTTTTTTCTTCTTTTTTTTGGCATCATCTTACATAGTTCTATTGTTTAACTGCAACATAAGAGACCCAGGCTGAAGCATGTGGTATTTGCCATCACTTTAGCAGCATGAATTAGCAAGGCAATCTACAGTACCACAGAATGTTGTAGCTTTTGGAAAGCCTTGGAGATCTAGTCCAATAACCCTTATTTTATAGATAAGGAAACAGCCATAACATGGTTAAGTGACTTGCCCAAGGTCACACAGTAAAGTTAGGAATAGAGCCTTTATTAGAATCCAGGTATCCTTACTTCTAGGCTAGTACTTCTTCCACTACATCTGACTGATTCTCTCTAATTGCTGTTGATTTCCTCGTAGGTCCTAAATCAGGTGAACACGGTACCTGCCTTCTACTGGTATTATGGGATAGCATTCACCTGATGGCAGCTTCCAAAGGAGACTCTGAGGGCACTAACCGGCTTCTGTAAGTTTATATTGCAAGTGTGACTGTATTATGTGGCAGTAAATGCTCCTCGCTATTATTGTCTACTTGAACACAGAAGTGTGCACATGGAAGTGATTATCTCAGTTCCCGCATTTGTAGAGTCAGTTAGATATTGTTTAATATTAAACAGACATCCCCGATGAATGAGGAGTCGGGTTATATTCATTTGGTTCCTAAAGGAGTGTGGGATCAGAAAAGGAGTGGAAAAAAATTAAAGCTGGCCAACAGAAAGATTCTATCAGAAACACATTTTTGATGAAAAAATGCTTTCTTAGGAAAAATAGTCCCATTATTTCCAAGGTCCCATTTATTTCCTTCCCAATCCACATGCAAATACATGTTCAGAATTGCGTGTTAAGTTCACTCAAAATCCCGGGTCTGTTAGACTGTCAATTTACAAATGCTGAATTTCAGTTCTCTTTCTCAGAGACTGGGAGTAGCTTGCATCACTGGCCATGCCTTTGTTTAACCGAATATTAACTGCAAGTAGCTAAGAAAAGGACCATGAGGTTAAATGGGGCAGGGCAGGGCAGGGTTAAGACTCTCATAAGTAGATTATATGTTGAGAATGGCCAAAGAAAAGCCTGTGGGTTCTCTAGGTATAAGGTCTGCACTTGGTGAAACTAACACCTGAGGCCACTACCGCACTATAAAAGTCCTCACCTACAATTTCTTTGGTGAGTTAGAAGGAAATTCCTCTCTTTGGGTAGATAGTCTCCCCTTTTCTGTTTAAAAATGACAGTAGTTACTGCATACAACCTATAATCAGGCCGGACAGAAAGTACATAGAGGCTGCCACCTCAGGCCAAAGCTAAAAGGAGTATGACTGAATGCCAACAGGCAAGGGCAGTTCTAAATATTTGTCTTAATGTTTTCAGTCAGCTTTTAAGCGCAAGTCATAACTTCTACTGAAATCAATGGGACTTGCCTACTGTTCATTAAAAGAAAATCCTACCTGAATGATAGTGTATCCTGTTGGAAAAGGAAATGGTGGGAGCTGGGGATTTTATCCTTCTGTCCTTCCAAGATTCAACCTGAAAATCTGCTAAAGTGATCCAGAAAGGCGATACTTGAAACAGATGACTTGAAACAGATGTTATCAAGGGGGCTGATCAAAGGTCACCCCTCCAATCTAAAGTAACCAAAACAGAAACCTCAAGACCATACTAAAGTGGAGGGGGGCACCCAGTCTGAAAGCAGAAGGACGCGTTTGGAGTACTAACAGTGACAGCTCCCTAGCTTTAACTTGTAGATAATAGTCCCCTAAGAAAGCACGTGCCGTACCCAAGCATGTGCCAACCTCAGCACCCAGGCAAGTATAAAGCCTATGGAATAATTGTAACTAGCAAATATCTGTGCCCTGCATGCTCTGGGCTCTGGCCAGAAGGCATCTGCTTCTGGCGTCTTTTCTATGTTTCTATAGTTCCCTTTCTGATGTTTATTATAAAGCAACATTAGAACAATATCAAAGAAAATTTTAAAAAGAAAAAAAAGTTCCACATAATCCCGCCACCCTAACACAACTGATTTCAATTGTCTGTGTTCCCAGCCTTTGCCCATTTGCACACTTATTTTTACATGGTTGTTCTCCCTGTTTATGTTATTTAAAGGTGATTTTATCGATTCTCTCTGAGAACTGGCAGCCTCATTAGAAATAAACAACCCACTGAGCAAAGGAATATAATTATTTACACGATCTTTGAGCTGAGAAATATCCTTTATAGACAAACATCTCAAACTATCAAAACAGTTATACAGATGACATGAAGCAATTTCATATTTCTTTTTCTTTTAGCAATGGAATGTGCTTCACAGGGGAGGGAAAGATGTGGGGATCAGGTGGTTAAACTCAAACATTGGGGTGCAATTCACAAGCCTGAAAGAAATCTGAATAACACAATTAAAGAATAAATACTTGAGTTAAATCTTCTTACATGACTTGGCCATCCAGTAGCCAAAATGGAACACAGACACACAAATATTTACAATGACACACAGACGAGATCAGCAAGAACGAAGTCATTACCCAACATGGTGACTGATTTGAGGGGATTATGACAACGTACCGGATCCTTGCTACAACATTAATGTTCTTTTCTTTCTTAAATAAATAATCTCTACTGTGCTTCTCACCCTTCCCTGACTTTCCCACTGCCCTATCCCTATCTCAGGACATTTTGGAATCGACATTCGACGATGTGCCCCTATTATCTCAGGGCACACGAGCGACTTCAAAGATCTGGATAGACTCACCTGTGTCAAGATGAGCTAAAAACAAAAATGCAGGGAGAGGGAATAAACTATTAACCACCTGGAGTCTTTCAGCATCATTTTGGCAGGAGAAGCAGCTTCTTCCTAATACTTATTAGAAATATACATAACTCTCCAACGCGGGGAAGGGTCTTTAGAAGCTGTTCTCATTTTAAAATTTACATAGATATAAGTTTGTAAGAGTAAAGCCTACTGGGATTATATTACCATAAAATCTTGGTATAACGGGCTGTGGTGAAGTAGTACCAGGCTTCTTGTTGTTGATATGCTGAATTGAAAGCATAAAAGAGCAGCCATTTCTCCGCCTACAGTAACCTGAAGGGTCACTGGTCCAGGTCTCCCCCCACCAAAAAAAGGCCTTCATGACATGTAAGGGATGCTAACAGATAACTAGGGCTTCCCAACCAGGTTTGGGGCTCTCTCCCCTGGCAGGGTATAGTTATCAATATACTGAATTCTATTTGCATCCCAGGTATTATTTCACTGAATTCCCTGGCACTATGAATGAAAAATTAAAAAAATACTTAATTTTAAATGAAATCAAAATTAAGGCTTCTCTCTCTCTCTCTCTCTCTCTCATTAAAACAGTGTGGCATTAAAATTTTCAGGCCCAGCCACATTTTTGTGAAGTATACCATAGTATGCTTCAAATTAATATTACCATTTGATCTTTTCATGTTTGTTGTTTTATCCCACTGTGGACATTTTCGGGGCCGGGGGGTCAAGCCCCTCCCAAATCTCATAGTCAAAGAAGACAATAGGAAATCCACCAGTGGTGTCATCTCCTACACATAAACACGTGCACTATATGGTTAGCAGAAACTCTCTAAAGAAAGTGCTTTCATTTTAAGGAATGGATAGATGATTATATTGACGGATGTGCCTAGGCAGAGAAGGAGAGAGGCCCATGGCATTGATCTCTTTCCCTCTCTTGCTGGATGTAGATAGGTTCTATTCAGATTCTTGACATACTACAAATCAAGAAGCCTTCTACTGCACAAACTGCTAGCTTTTCAAAGGCTTAGAGAAACAACTATGCAGAATTTATAAAATTGACAATACACTCGAAAGAGAAGCATATCCTTTTCTACGCAGACACCCTCCAGATATTTTTCTACGCTCAGAAGATTCAGGAAGTGGCAACTGTTGAATTTCTAATAAATTGATACACGGTGAAATACTAGTCAAATTTTCATATTTTCCCCAAGCCACAAAAGGAATTCAGTTGGACTGATATTTCTTGGGGTATATGATTGCAAGCCCAAATGCTTTTCACTGGAGAACTTCAAGATCTTTACAGACATGTTTTTAAAATTCAAAAGCCCAAAGGGCTAAGTATGAACACACCATATCCAGAAACAGAAATTGGTGAACATAGGGAAAATGGCAACAAGTACTTAGAGCCTAATGTTGACTGGGATGTAGTTTTCACTGACCTCCCATTTCTTACAGAGTTGACTGCTTACAATATTTCTGTGCTCCAGCTCTTTAAAAACAATTTTAACGTTATAAATTGTCAAGATAAATCATTTTTACCAGCAGCAAACGTTGGTTAATGGGTCTGTTTCCTCCTGTTGTGCCTATTTTACAGTTACCTACATTCCACAAGGACAAGACAGGATTGGATTAGGTATTGTTATCTTTGTTTACTGTCCAACAAGGATTTCAGTATTGCATGCTTATATTATCTCCCTTTGGGCTCTTGGAGAAAGTCCCGTCTTTGTTTAAGTATGGTTTCTCCTATCAGGAGTTCCTAGGTTTCAGACCTGGACTCACCCAACTGAAGTGCCATAGTTTTGGTGTGTCTTTTTTCAGGTATCATGAAGATGAACGAGCTGGTTTATACAAATGATAAATCAACTACCTCTTAAGCATCATCATGAAAATGTGATAAGATTTCACCATTTGAACTTTTAGACATAGAGTTTTTAAAAGCCCTTCCTGAACACACATATTCCTCTCTGCTTTTGGAAAATGTCGTAAAAGAAACCTTTTCCAATACAAATGCAGAAAAACAGGTACACAAACCGAGCCACCACTATAGAAGAAGAATAAAAAAATTTCAACTCTATTAGGGCATGGACTTCCACATGTTCACACAGTACTTGCTCTGGGTTATTTTTTTTTGTTATTTTTTTTTGTTTTTGTTTTTTTTTGTTTGTTTGTTTTTGTTTTTTACTTTCTTTTTTTTAAAAAAAAACGTTTTGACATCTTTTTTTTTTCTGGACATCTAATGACAATGCAAGTGAAAAACATCACATTGGGTAAGGAGTTTTGAAGGAGGTTCGAATGCAAGAGGGACTACTCTCTAACTTAAAAACAAACACAACACTATGAAGAGGGAGTGTGCATCTTTGAGAAATCTTTTTTCTTCAAAGTGAATGCACAAAATGAGGGGATTCACTACTGGCTCTTTCGCTTCACGGTAGAAGTGACCACTTGATGGCCACTTCGACATTGCTGCCCTGTTTGGGCTGCGATTCAGGCTTACAAATAAATTACATAATCTGAGGGAGTAGGAAAAAGGCTTATAAGAAGTTTCTATTCATTTGAAAGTTAAAGAATCCCCACCCCATTCAACTGTCTTTTCTTCCATCTTTCCTGCAGTGGAGTTTTATTTCAGTCTTACTCATGAAGGAGATGGTGTGGGGTAAGGCTTGCAGTCCTAGCGGCTGCTGTTCTTAATCGCTTCCTTTGCAGCGATAATCAGAGGAGTCAGGCTGGAGAGAGGCTTGGCTAATTTTAAAAATGGATGCTGCAAAAGGAAAAAAAAAAAAAGAGGAATTACTAGAATTCTTTCCTCCAACAAGTATATTACTTTACACTTTCAAGGAGTCTGTTTTTTTCATTAAGATGTATTTTGTGGATCCAATTAAACATCATTTAAAAAATAGTGCCAGCTTTTGTCCTTCAGATGTTTTTGGTCTTCGGTGCCATGAAATCTTCTAGAAGCTGACTGGCAGAGCTAGAAATTCAGAGTAGCGGTCTTGTAAAATCTCGCTGTGTTTGCAAGTCTAACTTTCTGATTTTCTTAAATCGATGAATTTATCTGGAGCAGCCGTCATCCTTAAAAAAGTGTATTCGGTTGACCACTCAAGACCTTGACCCTGAAATCAGTGGCCCGCTAACTGCTAAACCCAATAGTGTGTCTCCACCATTTCTTTTTTGGCCCCTCTGCAGTGCTTCAAAGAAGTGAATATCCCTTTCTTCTTTGAGATGTTCTCTTTGGGGGTCTGTGACATTCTACTGTCTCGATTCTCTTCCACACACATGCTCACTGACTACTCCCTCCCTTTCTATCTTCCTCCCTGATTTCACTTCCTCTTCCCACCTCCCAGAACTTGACTCTCATCATCTTCTTTTTCTAATTTAGTTCCTTGGAGAGCTCATTCCTTTTTGTGGTTCCAACCTCTCATCAAGCTTTATGGACATGACTCCCAAATGTCCACTGTGTCACCTGATGTCTTTCCTGAATTCTGGTCCTATTTCTCCAATTGCCTGCTGGATATTTCCTTTTGAATGTCCTTCTGCCACCTTGAACTCAGCATTTAAAAATGTACGTTCAAATCTACCAAACGGTACTCTTGTGTGATGTAAGCTACAGGGGCTTTGGAGTCAGAGCACCTAGGTTCAATCCTCTCCTTTGCTTATCACAATGGTTAAATGAGGTAAGTGACAGTTCCTCGTAAGCTACATTGAAGCCAATCAGTGTTAGCCACTGTAGTATTATCCTCTATCACTTCTGCTTTTGCTGAACTCTACCACTGGTTTGATATTCTGAGGTAGCTCACTTTTGTGTTCCTCTCCCTTATGTTCTACATGCAATCAGTTACCAAGTGCTTCCTTTTCAATGCCTTTTACAATTATCTCTTGCTTTCCCTAGGCCTAATCAACTTAATCCTAAATTATAACAATAACCCCCCTATCTTCCTGCCTCCATTTTTTCTATTGCTAATTCTTCTTGCATACCACAAGATTCATCTTCCTGAACAAACCTTTCATCAGGTGTGTCCCTCAGATATCTTCAGTGTTTCCCCACTGCCTACAGCCCCTACCCTTTAGCCTGGTGTTCAAGGCTCTCTACGTCCTGTCTCCTGCGGCTTTCCTTACTGGAACTCTTTACTTCAGCTACACCGTCTAGTTTCTGTTCCCTTGAACCCTGCCTACATGCCTTTGGTCATGCGATAATCCTTCCATCTGAAATTCCTTCCCCCTTTCCCCTCAAACTATCTAAAACTGATCTGTCTTTCAAGGCCCAGCCGAACTCTTTCCTTTTTGCAGACATTTTCTGAATGCCATAGCCCATAGAAGTACGTCTCTAATCAACCGTGACATTTACTGTTTAAACGGCCTCGGGTTGACTGAGTCGCTAAACAATCTTGCATTTTTTTCATGTTCCTAAGGAGACTGTGAACTTCTGAAGAGTAGGAATCATGCCTTTAACAGATTTGTATCACCCACTGCACTTAAGCCCTGCAAATAGGGAGTTGCTCCATAAAAATCCACTTACTTCTGTCTTCTCTCAAGCCTTCCAGTGGTGTGAATGCCATGTATCTCTCTCCTTTCTAACCTCTAAAATGGGCTAGAGTCAGAGAATGGAGTTATATGGACTTAAGGTGATATACAGATTACAGCCTATATGTGTAAAACGAGAAGATGCAACAAACAAAGTCTTCAGTTTTCTCAAAATATCATTTTGCATCAGAAATCTGACTGCTTCAGATAAAAGTATTGTTGGGGAAGGAATTAACTAGATAATTGATTCAATGACCTACATAACTGTATAGCTACCTTCAGAGAACCTGTATCTTCACTCATCCTTGGAAGAAGACATGATAGGAGTGTGTACCAGGATGTGTATGTCGGGTGGTGGGAGGGGTGAAAAGATGTGGAAAAGAAGCATTCAAAAGTTCCAGTTTTTCATCTATAATTTGAGGCTGTATTAATGGGAGGATTAATAAAGGGCTATTTCAGATCTGACATTTTCGGGCCCCATGACAGCCTGTGAAACGCTCACAGGTAGCAGAGAAGACAAGGGGTAGCTTCCCCAATTCCTCCAAATTGGTGTATCCCAGATATGATTTGGGTTGGGATGGGATATTTTCGCGTGGGTGTGGCTGTCTCTGGAGGGAGTTCAGAAGCAACAGGAACTGTTTGTTGTTTGGCCTAAAACAGACTGACTCTATGGTTAATAACACTCTGCATGACCAAGAGTTATGCCTTTTGTTTAACTGGATTATGTGTTCAAAGTCAGGGAGAACAAGCAATCACTTTTCTTGGCAATTACAGATCTTTATCTTGTTCCCCAAGGAACAGTCAGTCCCCAGCAGTGAAGCTATATGTGTAATCCTGGGCATGCATTGCTTTATCAATATAAATGCATTTTTTCCCTCTAAATTGGTTTGTGTGGAAGAAAGTCAGACAATTCAGGGCTCAAATCCACGTTCTGCCACTCAATAGCTGTGTGAGTTCTAATTTCTACAATTGCAACGGGGATAATAACACCTATCCTAGAGAGTTGTAAGAATTAAGTGAGATAACGTTTGTAAAGAATTTGGTATAAGGTAGGTACTAATTACCATCATGTATACTAATCCCTGAGAGCCATGAAAAGGACAAATGGTTACAGAGGCACTCACCACTGGATGGTACTCACCCAGGCAAGCAGGTGCCTGCCATTTGGCATCACAAGCAAAGGGGCTTTGACCAGTAAAGCATTAGAGTAGCAGATGCCATGGAAATAATTGCATAGTTATGTAGACAATTACCTCCGGCCAAGAGCACCTGCGTACAACATCCAGGGGCACAAGCAAAGTTTAGAACAAAACAGCAACACCAGAGGTTCACATTGTTATTTCCCTTGCAAAATAAGACTCCAGGAAGAATAAAAGAGAGTTACAGATTGAACTCCCAAGTTCTCAGAAGAAAGGCAACGTGCCAATCAATCACGTAACAGATGCATGCCTATACTTATGTGCCTGTGGTCTCAAATCAAATGGTTAGAGCCTAACTCGAGCTAGACCTCTTTTGATAGCGCTCTCTTACTGTCACACATTGACATGGAAAAGCTCAATATAATGACTCTCTCTTTGTAACTGTCCTGTTTCACTGTCACCTGTAAGAGCTCCTTGGCAGATCCTCGCCTATCCACATCCATCTCAAGACAGCGATTTAAAAAGTCACGGAATACAGCAGACAGTCTCTCAGGATTCTGGAGCTCTGGGGTTCCATTAGTGGCTATCAGATATAATGCCTATGGAAAAAAAAACATTAGAAAAATCTATTCAGCGTATACATGTTAGGATCACGAGCTGGCATACAAGACACAAATCCAGTTTCTTCTGGTTTATATCCTGGGTCTTAAAAATTCCATTTTAGAGAATGACACTGACATATACTGCGAAGTTTCTGTAACATTTAGAAATGGTTACTCTTGGCAGTAACGGACGTGACAGTGAGGTGCCCCACCCCCAAAAGCTTGGAAATAAGGTTATAAGGCTGTCCTATGAGAGTTAAGCCAGAAAAAAATCCATATATAATGAACGTGTGATTAACCACCTAGGAAATGAAACCAAGGAATCTGTGACTAAAGAGTTGAGGAAACACACACACATCCAATCGTGTCGACCTAAGTATAACCTCTGGAAGGCACAGTTGCCAAGGTGATTGTAATTTACTGACTGTTTATCTTGATTGGAGAATATTTGCGAGCCGACCAGGGATGAACAGACTACATTATGCAATCAGAGAAGTACAGAGAATCAGAAGATGGCAGTGCCTGGATGAGAAGTAACCCTTGGGGCCCGAGGACTCAGGTACTTTTATCCTGTGGCAGATGTGTCCCTATAGATTTTAATTAGGTTCCCCATGAAAGTCTACCTATAATAAGAGAAAATGTAAGAAAAGTTGACATTAATAATCCTGTATCCTACTGTAAAATAATAAGTTGCTAATATATCTCTGAGATCTTTGCTGTGGAAGGCCACCACTGAGAGATATCAACTCATGGTGCGCTGACGGAATCAAGGGCCCTGGCCTTCCAGGCTGAGAGCTGGACCCAGAACCATGGTTAATTCACAAAAGTAAACCCGTATTTCAAAGGCTCCGCAGCCATAAAAAGCTGGCCATTCCTCATGCCTCCTCTAAGCAAACTATTCTAGAGCACTGAGTATGTATCAGGTATTAAACACTGGAGATCCAAAGATGAATAACAGAATGCCCTACTTTCAAAGATGACACAATTTAGTGAGACAGAGAGACTTATAGATAGCTACCATATAGTGAGACAAGAGCTAACAGAGAAACACAGAAAGTGCTAAGTCAATGTAAGGATGAAACAATTTACACCAGAGGTCAGAGAAAGCTTCACAGAGGAGCTTGGCATTTGAACAGGGTCTTGATGGCTAAATAGGAGTTTTCCTGCAGGTATTACCACCAGGGTTATGTTTGCCTATGTGACCAGACTCCTAACTATCATGAAGACATGCTCCTTCTGAACTTGCTTGAACTTCGCAGCAAATTATCAGCCCCCCTTTCCACCGTGGCTCCTAATATTATTATCAAAAATATTTCTATCAGGGCTTCCCTGGTGGCGCAGTGGTTGAGAGTCCGCCTGCCGATGCAGGGGACACAGGTTCGTGCCCCGGTCCGGGAAGATCCCACGTGCCGCGGAGCGGCTGGGCCGGTGAGCCATGGCCGCTGAGCCTGCGCATCCGGAGCCTGTGCTCTGCAACGGGAGAGGCCACAGCAGTGAGAGGCCCACGTACCGCAAAAAAAAAAAAAATTAAAATAAATAAATAAATAAATATTTCTATCAAACTCCTTTCTCAGGCCAGTTTTCATCAGCTGGTGAGGACATCTCTCCTCCTTCCCAGAAACCTCCAGAGATGTACTTTAGAAAGGGTTAGAAAGGACCGTTTAATCCAGTGGCTGTCAACTTATAGCAGGCACCAGAATCACCTAGAGGGCTTGTTAAAACATAGATTTCCTGGGTCACCCCCCCCAGGGTTTCTGATTCAGTAAATCTGCAGAGGGGCCTGAGAATTTGCATTCTAACAAGTTCCCAGGTGATACTGAAGCTGCTGGTTTCAGGACCACACTTTGAGAACTGGTTTACTCCACCCAATTAAGCAATGGGCTTAATGATTGATGCTTGAGGCACCTGTCCTCACAAACCATCTTTGTTCCTGCATTTGGTTACTGCAAATTACATTTGCTAACTCCTCCTAAAACTCTCTTATTTCAGCTGGCCACAATTCTGCCAAACTCTGCGTCCCTTGCTGGCTTTTTTCTGCCCTGTAGCCAAACCCAGTCCTAAACAAACACATCTCTTTTTTCCCTTTCCACTCTCCCTAAGTCTGTGCACATGCCATACTGTTTCATTTTCTCTCTTTTTCTTTTCACCATTCTTAGCTCAATACATTCTACTCCATATAATCTCGCCCCTCACAAGTACATACACATCTCTACCCAAGTCCTTCTCACCTCTCTTCAATCCACGTACTAAGAAAAAGGTTGACAGGAAACACCCCAACATGTTAACAGTGGTTCTCTCTGGGTGGTAGGATTATTAGTGACAATTTTTTAAAACATATTCTTCAATTTTCCAAATTTTCTACAATCAACGCGACTGCTTTTATTATTCTTAAAAACCCTCCAAAATTCTTTACAAAATAAAATCTAAAGAGCTGTACCATCCAATTTACACAACAATCTTCATCTATTTCTCTTTGACCTCCTAGGATTAAACCTGCTTTTCATCAAGTACTACCCCTTAAGGGAAACAAAAACCCAGACGATTTCTTTTCCAACTATTGTTTTCGTTTTAATTGCAACAGTATTATTTCCAACTAATTTCTATTGCAAAGATCCACACTTTTAGTTATATTATGGCTAAACTGGCCTTTGTGGACTGGCCTGGGAACGTACTCACTATGCATAATGCCGTTTCTATGGGAAAATGCACTCTGAGTTCCAAATAGTTAACTTAAAAATGAACTTGTGTGTAAGCTGGGTCCTATCTTTGCAAAAAAGAAAATTGCTACTGACTGCCATGCTAATGAGAGACAAAAACAGTTGTAGGCAACACAACAATCACAGCAAAAAGCATTTTCCTAGCGAAGTCAAGTCTTAGCTGAAGAAAGATCAAGGAAAATCAGTCTAGGCACGAGTTTATCACATTGTGGTTTTATCTGAGTTAGTGAAAACTCAAAGAAAATGGGCTGGCTGAGAAATTAGACTAGACTTATTTCACTTAGTATAATACCCAGCAAATCAGAAAAAGACAGATACCATACGATATCACTTACATGTGGAATCTCAAAAATAAAACAAATGAATGTATATAACAAAACAGAAACAGACTCACAGACACAGAGAACATACTAGTGGCTACCAGTAGGGAGAGGGAAGGGGAAGGGGCAAGATAGGGGTAGGGAGTTAAGAGGTACAAACTACTATGTATAAAGTAAATAAGCAACAAGGCTATATTGTACAGCACGGGGACTATAGCCAACCCTTTATAATAACTATGAATGGAGTACAAACGTTAAAAACTGTGAATCACTATGTTGTACAACTGAAACTTATATAATATCGTACATCAACTATACCTCAATAAAAAAAGAAATTAGACTAGAGATTTCCTTTACAGTTGCTTGCTCCTTGAGTAAGAAACCCAGATTCATACCTGACTTCTCCTCCTTCCTCAACTGGAAACCTTCCCCTCCCCCAGCCTTCACTCTAGTCAGTCTAGTAGCTTCTGTTCATGCAACCTTTAGAAATGTCATTCATACCCATGCACTTTCCTCTACTCCCACTGTCTCTGCTAAAGGTTGGGCTTCCCTCAGACTGTTATGATAGCCTCCCAATAGGTTTTTTCTTACTCAAGCCTTTTTATTCTTCAGTCCATCTTCCTTAACAACCTATCTCATCTTTAATCTCATCGTGGCAACCATTTTTCTGCTCTAACACAATTTCTGGTGGCTCCCTATGGTCCACAGATGTGGTTTTCAAACTGGACTCTCCAAAATTCCCCTCAAGAGCAGCTAAGTGGGAAAAGAGGTGGGAGAGGGAGATGGATGTAGGGATTCTAGGACCCTGCACCCACCCATATGTGTTTCAATCAGAGAAATACTTCTTTTTTCTTTATTTATGCATGCTTCCAGCAAGGTTTAATTTGAACCAAGGGATCAGTATAGTTGTTTGAAAACACAGGACGTAGTAAAGATTCCTTTGCATGGCATAGAAGGTCTTCCATGATTTGGTCCCGCCTCCCTTTCTAGTCCTCATCTGTTCTCTTCTCACCCTAGAGCCCTGCTTCCCCCAACTCCCCATACGTACACACATTGGCCAAAGCTCACATACTATTCATGCCAATTAGTTCATCATTCCCATAGTAAGAAATGCTCTTTTATATCTGCCTGAAATGCTGCTCCCTTAACTGCCTAGTAAACTTCTACTTGCCTTAAAATTTCTATTTCAAATGGCATCTCCTTTTTAAAGCCTTCTCCATTGCTCCCAGATGGATATGGTGAATAACCACCTCGATTTTCTGGGGACTGTCCTGGGTTTTACTACTGAAGGTCCTATGTCCCTCAGTGCCAAGCAAACTGGGATGGTGGTCACCATGCAGATAGAGTTAGTCCTTCCCTCCTTTAAGCTACTACAGCCCTTTGTTTATATGTCTGTTTTCACACTGTAGGGTGAATACTTGTTACTTGTTCACTGGTCTGTCTTCCTAGACTGTAAAGGTAGGAATTGTATCACAATCATCTCTGGATTTTATGGCAACTGGCTCAAAATAGGTGCTCAATAAATGTTTTTGTTGCTAAATGAAATGAGAGCCAAAATGTATAAATAAATCGAATTGAGCTGGGAATATGACAGACTTTACAAAGTATTAAACCTGAGAACCTAAAGTGAACTAGTAAACATAGAAGAAGATATACAGAGAATGACAAAAACACCCTTTCTGAATTGAACAGGTTTGGACTGTGGGAACTTCTGACTACACAGCTCCTCAGTGTGGGAGAAGGAAGAAAGCTACATGAGCAATGTAGGTAAGGGGATGACATCAAAGAGAGGGAAAGCTGGAGAAAGAGGTCCACAACATGGTGAACTGCTGTGGGCAAACCCACAGAGGAAGCGGAGACAATACGTCCTCTCTGGCACTTGAAACATAGCAACTTAGTCTTCTCTGACTGATCGTGAACAGAGAAGGAGCTCTTGAATTTTCTTCAGCTACATCATTAA